TAATTCCTCACCAAACGACCATAATTCCCGTAAATTCACAAGAATGTCATCATTTATTGAGACATATTTGAGTGATTGAGATCTAACGTTTAAATGCGTGTTGAAACTTGAAACTGAATGCTTGTACGTTCACAAGAACAGTTGATCTTGTACTAGCTAGATGCTTTTGATGTAGATAAATTAATTTTGAATGAACTTTCATCATTGAGAAGTCAAGTGGGATACTAATTAATTAAGAGAAATACTTGGCTCTTCAAAGATAGAGAAGTAATGAAGAATTCATCCTTAAAATACTTCATGGCATATTCACAAAAATTCATTATGATAATCAAAACCGTTCATATTATAATCATTCTCAAATATCATTTCTATAAAAAATCAATTAAAATTAAGATCATTTAGTCATTGAACTGTATTAAAACATACAAACATATTTGATAAAAGCATTACGAACCGTCTATTTATTTGTTGCAATTGATCAACTAAACGATTTTAGTTTTAACTAACAGATGATCTTTGCATAGTAATTTATAAAATAACTAGTCCGATCATAAGCATGAAATTTTGCTAATAGAGCAATAAATATGTTAAGGAGAGGAGCCAACCTCTTCTCATTAATTAAAGAAAAGAGTCTAAATTAGGAAAAGAATCATTGCCGAATTCTTTTCTTGGAGATCCAAGGGATTCTCAGGATCATGTCCGTTCATCGTACATCGTGCGGTCATAAATCATTTGAAATTTAAAATTTAAAATTCAATATAAATAATACCTAACGAAAACTGACCGCACGATGTACGATGAACGGTTATAATATCTTTTTCCTCTAAATTATAGCGTATATACGTCATCAGACTAGGAGTAGATTGTGATTGGTATATCTATCAACCAACGGTTGATTTTGACCGATAGATATATAATACAATCCCGAATTCCTTTCTAATACACCAATTCATTTTTATAGGATGGTTTTATTGACACATCTTTTTTTATTTTCTGCACATTCCTCTCAATTTTCTATCGTCAAATTAAATAAATTAAAGAGGATCAAAAGACATAAATTAACAGGGAGTATGTGAAGAATAAAAAGAAGCGTATGGATAGCATCACCATTTTCTTCACTATAATGTTCACACTATCTTACAGTGTGTGAAAGGAGACTATGCATGATGTATAAACTTACCCATAAAAGTCAAGAAATACAAAATACTATGTACACTTCGTCAATTCATACGCGTACGCTATTGATTCTATCACCGTACTAGTGAAAACTCTAATGTTAATTTGAACATAACCAAGTTGCACAATTCAAATTTTGACCACAATAGCAAGCAAAACGATTGTGGTTCAAAAGAGATCATCAATCACTAATGACCTTGGTTGTTTATCTGTAAAATTGATCAATTCTTCCTTTCTTGATGAGCAAGATATATTGACTTCACCTTCTAAACGTCACCACTCATATTCAATTATTTTATCTAGAAAAAATTATTTATGCTTAGAATATAAACGTTGATTGTACTTAGAATTTCAAGTATAAAATGCAAGTACGCTATAACCCCACAAGTGTGAAAGCGTGACAAACTGGTTCGGGTGTCAATTCTTCTTAGTTTGTCTTTAACTTATTAAAATTTATTTACGTATTTTTTTTTAATATGATTATTTTTACGCCATCAGATAGCGATACTCTAACTAAGGGGTGTCCACTAGTTTTATGACATTGACTGAGATTTCTTTCATGATACAACAGTACATGTACAAAAATGAGAGATAGTTGAGCTAAATCACACGAAAATATAGTATATTTTTATATGAGCGTTTCATGGATGATGTGATCAGGTGAGTACTTAATTATACGAGAATGTTCGTAACACTCAAAATTTGCTCTCTAAGAAGACTAAGATTGTCAAGTTCACATTCACCTAAACTAGTATTTATATATTAAAGAAGAGAAAAAAGAAAAGCAAGGTTTTAAAAAGCGTTAGGCGCTAAGTCGGGCGGTGAGCAGAGATCTAGCGTCTAGGTAGGACCTTAGGTAGCCTTTTTTTAATTTTAATTAAATTTATTATATAACATATAAATAAATGTCTACTTGTACTTAAAAAAAAATACATAATTGTATTGGATACATAAATTAAAATGAAATGACATATAGATTATAAAGTATTATAACATATTGAAAACATGTGAAACAATCATATATACAATGAGTGTTCATCCAGAAGTATTCAATAAATCTCTTACAATTTATAGAAAAAATATAATGCAAAACGAAAGTTATCTTTAAGTGAGAGTCGTGAGAAATTAAAAAAAAAGTAGAAAGAAAAGAAGAAAATTGAATGGATTATCCCAAACATGCCACCACTACTGTCACACGAACTATATATGAAATGGAGATTCTCTTAAGGCAAGCACTAAGCAAGTAAATTACCATATTTGTGGGAATCTCCTCCCCCAGGTGTTATCTCCTCACTAAGTTCTCTTCTTGTAATAAATATTTGAGGACTTGTTATTCAACGGTATAACATGACTTATAGTCAAACAATTTCAATATTGATAGATAGCTATGTTATATTTTCTTTTAGAATAACTGAAATGATTAAAAAATATTATATGCACATGGTTTCGATATGCTAATTAACAGACAGCGAGTCTATTCTTTTACATTATATGTATTATTTAATATAAAGATATATATAGGCCATTTTGACAAGCTACTCTTCCTCTTTATCTGAGCCTAGGCGAGCATCTAGGAATATCCAGGCATCTTTTCTTATTTTGCCTAGCGATTATTAGGGTGCTAGGTCAACCGTCTAGCTCCTAGAAATATTTAGACATCTCTTCTTAATTTTCAAATGTATAGAGATTAATCGGAATAGTGGTTAGCGGCGTTAGACGAAGATTTTTAAAACAATGAAGAAAAGATATATATTGCAAATCTAGAATACTATATAACAATAGTCCAATTCTAAGGATGAAAGATCGATAGATACTTTTTCTTTGTTTCTAACTTTGATCAATAAGTTAAATTTGATCAATAAGATTCATTAAAAAGATATATATGGAAAATATAGAGTACTATATAACTAGTATTTATATATATTAAAGAAGAGTAAAGCAAAGTTTTAAAAGTTGTTAGGCGTTAGTCGGACGGTAAACATGAGTCTAGCATCTAGACAGGATCCTAGGTAGCCATTTTTTTTAATTTTAATTAAATTTGTTATGTTATATATAAATAAATGTCTACTTATTATTAAAAAAATACATAATTGTATTGGATACATAAATTAAAAATGGAATGACATATAAATTATAAAGTATTACAACATATTGAAAACATGTGGAACGAGCATATATATAATGAGTGTTCATCCAGAAGTTTTCAATAAGTCTCTTACAATTTATCGAAAAAGTATATTGCAAAATGAAAGTTATCTATTTTCTATCTAAGTGAGAGTCGTGAGAAAATTCATAATAAATAAAAAGAAAAGAAGAAAATTGAATGGATGATCCCAAACCTGCTTCCACTGCCACCACACGAACTATGAAAAGGGGGATTCCTTTAAGGTAAACACTAAGCAAGTAAACTACCTTATTCGTGGAAATTTCCTCTCCCATGGTGTTATCTCCTCACCAAGTGCTCTTCTTGTAATAAATAATTGAGGGCTTGTTATTCAACAGTATAACACGACTTATAGTCAAACAATATCAATATCGATAGATATCTAAGTTATTATACATCGATATTTATGAATTTTCTTTTAGAATAACTAAAATGAATTAAAAAAATTATAAACACATGGTTTCGATATGCTAAATAAAATGACTGCGAGTTTATTTTTTTACATTATATGTATTATTTAATATATATAGGCTATTTTAACAGAGGGAGAGATAGAATGTGGTCTAAAAAAAAAAAAAATTAAAGATGCTATAATGACATATGGCGAGATTTGAAAACAAAAAAAGTAAAGTTGGTTTGTGCGAAATTATATTACTAACTTTTAATAAGGCACTTTTTAGGCCCATGTTATGGTGTAGGTCAAAAAAGAAGCCATGAAAAGCCCCAAGAAGTTTAAGAAACCCAAGGCCCGAGAGGTTCAAAAAAGAATGATCCCATGTGCTAAAGCCGACCGCTTATAATTCCAGTTCGACCAAGATATGTAAAGTACTTTTTGAACGCAAGAGGCAAGTGGACAGGCTGACAGCTTTATGGCACAAGTCTCTAGGGACAAGTATGTTAAAGGACAATAAGGTCACATGGTGAACTACAGTCAGTGATAGAAACCCAAGATGGGACGTAAACGTGCTCAGTGATTAATCACAATGGTGGTCAGCTGCCTAGCATCTAAGAATATCTATGCGTCCTTCTTAATTTTTAAATGCTTAGGGATTAATCGGGACTAGTGACCAGCCACCTAGTACATAAACGGCACTAGACGGAGATTTTTAAAACAATGAAGAAAGGATACGGCAAATATAGAATACTATATAACAATAGTCCAATTCTAAGGGTGAACGATCCATTAAAAAGATCGATAGATACTTTTTCTTTGTTTTTAACTTTTATCAATAAGTTAAGTTTATATACAGAGGTACAACACAACATGCATGATATGTAACATGTAGGATTATTTTAATACATTCACGTTCAGCATGCACATAGCTCATATAACATTTGCATTTCTGATGCAGGTACTCCAAAACTTAGTGCATGGGCAACGAATATATAGCCTCACTTTTTTCCTCCATTAAATATTACTTTTCACTGGCCGCTTTGCTTAACTTTCGCCGTCCAATTTCTTTTTCATCACCTTTAATTTCTTAGCACTCTAATAAAGTGAAATATTTGCCCCCAGCTGAGATTATTCATATCCTCATAACACCTTATATATCCATCCACCTGAAAAACATTACTGAGTTGGCTAATCGCAAGAACATAATCGTTTTCAACCATTAATTAACATATGTTTTGTGCACCTAAAACAACCATCGTCATCGAGCTTTTTTCGCAAAAAAGTCCATTGTACGTCCCACAGTTTGTCCACTAGTCATGTACGACGAGGATGTATGGTTCCATTTGCATAAAAGATCATGAACTCCATGTGTTACAGTGCTACAAGAAGTTTCCGTTTCTATTTTGTTCTAATATATTTTTCTTATTTTTTTGCTTTAAGCACTTTCACCCCACTCCATCACCAAAAAGTATAAACTTTTTGCATTCTGTATAAACCCCCCTAAGGCTCTTGTGTTCCTTCATGCAAAATAATTAACCTTCCATCATATTCTTTTTCTTGAGCATCTCATATTTTCCTTTCTTTCAAAGGGTTTCGTGCGCTTGAATATCTTGGGTTTCCTTGTTTTTTTTATTTTTTGTTTTTATATCGAAATCTAGGGTTTGCTTGCTTTTTTGATCGAAACATAGGGTTTCCTTGCTTACTTATTGCAGTTGTGATTAATCAAACAAGAAAATAATTAATCATGAAGAACAAGGCTTCTGTTTTCTTGAAACATATAATCACCTTGCTGAGTTCCATAGCCAAGGCCAAGTCCTTGGCTATCAAGAGCAAAACTAGCGCCACGAAAGCTCGCCTGATAATGTTCTCATTGGTGAAGAACAAGAAGGTTTTGATGGACACCGTGTCACACAAGATCCACAGTCTCCTAGGCCACGATCACCGCTATCAAGAGGAGGAGGAGGGAGACCAAAGCAAGGCGCTTGTTCTCTACAATGCCATTGCCAATGAGTACTCACATGCAGTTGGTACTTCGACCTGCATGCTTAGGTACAACGGCCAAGATGAGGAGGAGGAGGACGACGATGATGATAAGTACCCTGATCTCAGGCACTCGTTGTTCGATGAAAATGAGAACTTTGATGATGTCAAGGATGGCGGGTCTGTGATCGATCTGGTGAAGAATTCCAAGGTGGAAGGAGAGGATTTCAAGCTGGAAGACGAGATAGATCACGTTGCGGATTTGTTCATTAATAGGTTCCATAAACAAATGCGCTTGCAAAAGCTTCTCTCCTTCAAAAGGTATCAAGAAATGCTCGACAGAAGCGTCTGAATATTCTGACAGATCAACACAAATAAAAATTATTACGTTGTTTACATTAATTAACAAGTTGTTATTAACATTCCAATATAATCATATTTTACACTCTTTTCTCGTGAAAAAAAGAAAAAAAGAAAAAAAAAAGATTGTAAGATGATTATTTTAGAGTGTTTATAACAGTTTTTTAATTAATTATGTGCAGAGATGGATCGATCGAAACCCTATTATTGGTCATCAAAAAGGTTAGACGTATCTGATGTGGCTGCCCCATGCCTCTATGGGGCCTTTTTCGTTGCCTTGTAATTTTACATGCATAAATAATTAAATATATTGCTGTAAAGCTGTTTGTAATGTGTACTTTTTGATATGGAATAAAGGTTTAATTGAAATTCGAGTCCGACTGCTACTGGTAGATCTAGTACGGATGCGTTCGAGTCGTTGGTGCTTTACATCTTTTTTCTTCTCTCATCAGACTCTCAGTGACAAAGTCGATCATTGCACTACTGCCAACAACCATGGTAGTGGGCTGCGCCATAGACTTGTAATTAACCAACTTTTCTCTTTTTCAAATACCACACGTGCAAATACATTTTCTGAATCACGATATATTATGTGCAATTTACACATTTTATATGTATTTATATGTGTAAATTGATAAAAATGAAGTCAAATATTTGAAGTAAATGAATAATCTTATATCATGTTAGAAGAAACCCTTCGTAAACCAATTAAAGCAACTGAATTCACATAATCTCTATAGAATTTACATTAAGAATAGAGAAAATTATATTTAATAAATAATTGATTGACTCACATTATTGTTAACCCATTGTTAGGCTAAGTCTTGCCTCTCACCCTTAGTGTAGATAATATCATTTGTTAAAAGAAAAAAAAAACAATCATTTGACAACTAATTTAATCACATAATTATCTGCGTGCGTACAACTTTTTTTTATAACCGGCATTACACGACTCTTAAGATGTTTTGAACGTGTTTAAAAATAGAGAAAATAATATTTAATAAATAACTGATTGAATCATATTATTGTTAGTCTATTGCGAAGCTAAGCTTACCCCTCCTCCTTAGTGTAGATAATATAGTTTGTTAAAAAAAAAAATCATTTGATAACTAATTTAATCACATTATTATCCGCGTGCAAAATATTTTTTTTATAACCTGCATTATACGGGTCTTAAGATGTTCTGTTCGTATATTTTGGTGATAAGACCGTTCATACTTAATTGCTCCTAACTCTATTAGATTGCCTACCCACTTGTCATATGACAAAATTATTAAAAAGTAAATTTATAAAATTACCCTTGCATTATGTTATGCATTCTTCTTTGCTGCTTTTGATTGTTTTTGGCTGAGGGGTATTCTGGTCCTAATATTTTTGTCTATAACAGACTGTGTACGTACTAAAGGTTTCCAATGAAAAAAAAATGTAGCAAAAGTCAGATCCACAAATATGAAAGAAGGTAGTCAAAAAATGGATTGTGTTTGTAAAAACTACATTAAACAAATTAGTTGATGAATTTTCTTTTGATAAAGTTGATCTACAGAAAAAAAAAATGAGAAGAAAAGAGTTTGAATGAGATTGTCACACCGTTACTAATCTGCATGTTATTTGAGAATGCTCAGTCTAAAGTGAGGCCTTAAACACCAATTAGAAAGAGGCCCTCACATGCTTTCCCATCATAATATTTATTTAATGGTTTAGTAAAAATACTAATATTTAAAAATAAGCTTTAGCCGCAAGTGGTGAATGGTTCTAATAGATATGCCTTTCTTTTCAACCCACTATGCATTTAAAAATAAGCTTAATCCCTCTATCCTTCCCTTAACAACTTAGAATATGAATATCGTTATGTATAAAGTCATCTCCAATAAAATTCCTATATTTAGTCTCCATGTGCATTGTAATATAAAGCCGACGACGAGTTTATATTTTTTCTCTCTTTTATCTTTGAACTATTTTCATGCTACGAGTATACTATAGCGTTTTGGATCAACCATACAATTGAGATACATATAAGTTCCCTTTGTACAGAGTATAGAGTGTATAGACACGGTGCTCCGATAACAACGACTTGTATCCTGAGTCCTGACGAGTTTTCAGCGGCTTTATAATTTGCGTGGATCCCACTGAATCATATGAGAACTAGGCCCGCCTAGAGTTTGCGTTTGCGAATCCAAAGCCCAAATTTTGAAAGCCCAAGATTAATCATGTGACGTGGCAGCCCACGCGAGCCAAAATAGCGGGAAAGGTTCCCGCCAAAAAGCAGAAGCCTCCTCCCTTGTGAGCCCCAGAGGCAGCGCAATTCCATATTCCGAATTGCAATTTCAGCCGCATAGAGAGAGAGAGAGAGAGAGAGAGAGAATCGCAGAGCGAGGGACGGCGGAAAGAAGTTTAATTTAAGGAAATGGCAGAGAATCATCCGTCGACGCCTGATTCGCCGACGTCAGTCGGGTTCAACACGGATCAGTTGCCTCACACGAGCCGCACCTCCGAGAACTTCTCGTCCTCCTCTTCCGACGACGAGGCCGCCGTCGACCCCGAAATCGTCCGAGATGAACCCGACGACGACCCCCTCCTTGAAGAGGAGGAGGGAGAGGATCTCTTCCACGACAATTTCTTGGAGTCAGTACTTCAATTTCGTCTCTCTGAAATGCATGATGTTTTTTTCAATCGATTTAATTTCTCAAATATAATTTTCGTAATTTGGGTTCTCAAGAAATGATTTGTTTGGATGAAAATATAGTGATTATCGGAGAATGGATGGGCACGACCAGTACGAGTCGGTGGGGCTGGATGACTCCGTTGAGGACGAAAGGGATTTGGATCAGATCATGGCTGACCGCCGTGCCGCGGAAGTCGAGCTTGATACCCGTGACGGCGTCCACACCTCACGCAAGCTCCCCCATCTTCTCCATGACCAAGGTAAGTAAACTTTGTTTCTGTGAATGTCATGTATCCTTGCAACTGGGAATGGAACAATTTCAGAATTATGTTTTTTTGGTGTTGGTTTTGGTGAAATGTTGAGTGTGTGTTGGCATTTTGGTTTCAGATACTGACGATGACAGCTACCGGCCTTCGAAGAGGGCAAGGGCGGATTTCAGGCCTCCGAGAAGCTACGATGATACAGATGGAATGCAGAGTTCACCCGGAAGATCACAGTCGCAGCCCGAACACTCCCGAGAGACTGATGATGACGGCGATGAGGTTTAGTTATGCAAAGCATGCTTTTGACTTTGATGAGATTTTACATGAATTTCTTAACTTGCGTTGTGAACCCCTTCTTATATGTCAAATTCTTATACTGGTTGCGGGTTTCATGTGTAGAATGATGAAGACGAAGAATTTGAAATGTATCGTGTTCAAGGAACACTCAGAGAGTGGGTTACTAGAGACGAAGTGCGAAGATTTATAGGCAAGAAATTCAAAGAGTTTTTACTCACCTATGTGAAAAAGGATCACAATGATATCGAATGTGTGCGCCTCATTAATGAGATGGTGTTAGGTAAAGGCGTAGCTTTCTTTCACAACTGTTATTATCCATTAACTGTTCTACTTTTTATCCCATTCTTTGTGCAAGCAGGAAGCTAATGATGCCTCAGATTTTGAATTTGAATCAATTTTACTGTTGCATTGTGCAGCCAATAAGTGTAGTCTGGAGATTGATTACAAGCAATTCATCCATGTTCATCCCAATATTGCCATTTGGTTGGCTGATGCCCCCCAGTCTGTCCTGGAAGTTATGGAAGATGTTGCCAAGAATGTTGTGTTTACTTTGCACCCCAATTACAAACGTATCCATCAAAAAATCTACGTTCGGATAACTAACTTACCTGTTTATGATCAGATTCGCAACATTAGGTATAATGGAGATTTCATTGTTGTGGTTACATTTTTCCTTGCCTTTTCCATTGCGGTGACACTTTCATTCTGCTCTGAATGATGTGCAGGCAGGTCCATTTGAATACCATGATTCGTATTGGAGGGGTTGTGACCCGACGCTCTGGGGTCTTTCCCCAGTTGCAGCAAGTAAAGTATGATTGCAATAAATGTGGGGCAATCTTGGGGCCATTCTTTCAAAATTCTTATTCAGAAGTGAAAGTTGGTTCTTGCCCTGAATGCCAATCAAAAGGACCATTCAGTGTCAATATTGAGCAGGTGAAGTTTCATACATTCATATCTGCTTTCAGTTTTCTTTTTGAATGTTGTGGAGGCTGCTATGGGATTTTATAATTAGTATCGCACTTCATTTCTTTCTTCAGACAATATACAGGAACTATCAAAAGCTTACACTCCAAGAGAGCCCTGGAATTGTCCCCGCAGGTCGGCTTCCAAGATACAAGGAAGTGATACTATTGAATGATCTAATTGATTGTGCTCGTCCAGGGGAAGAGATTGTAGGATCCTCATCTTTGTCTTGCTCAGTTTTACTTGTTACTTGTTTTAGTGAATAATCACTCATTCATATTCTGTTTTCTTTCCTATTTGATTTATTCCAGGAGGTCACTGGCATTTATTCAAATAATTTTGACTTGTCTTTGAATACAAAGAACGGGTTTCCTGTATTTGCCACTGTGGTTGAAGCAAATTATATCACTAAGAAGCAAGACCTCTTTTCTGCTTACAAACTTACTCAGGAAGATAAAGAAGAGATTGAAAAGTTGTCTAAAGACCCAAGAATAGGAGAAAGGGTATGTTACCAAAACCCTATTCTAAAGTTTATAAACTACATACCTCTTTGTAGTACCATGAAACAACTGTAAGTTTGATGGATGCAGCTTATCAAGTCAATTGCGCCATCAATCTATGGTCATGAGGACATAAAGACTGCAATAGCTCTTGCCATGTTTGGAGGCCAAGAGAAGAATGTTGAGGGAAAACACAGACTAAGAGGGGATATAAATGTTCTTCTCTTAGGTGACCCTGGCACGGCGAAATCACAGTTTCTTAAGTAAGAGCTACTATCATTCATTTAAAAGTGAATCCAATCTTTTTGCAGTGAAGATCTATTTAATTATTCAATTTTCCTTCTCAAAAGGTATGTTGAAAAGACTGGGCAGAGGGCTGTGTATACTACTGGTAAAGGTGCATCTGCTGTGGGGCTCACAGCAGCTGTCCACAAGGATCCTGTTACAAGGGAGTGGACTCTTGAAGGAGGAGCGCTTGTTCTAGCTGACAAAGGAATATGTCTTATTGATGAATTTGACAAAATGAATGATCAGGATAGGTACGGAAATGCTACCTTATATGTCAATCTTCCAATTATGAAAGCTGACTTACCCCCTTCCCCATTTATTTTGAGGATTTGAGCACTAACATTTTCATCTGCAATTAGGGTGAGTATTCATGAAGCAATGGAGCAGCAAAGTATTAGCATATCAAAAGCTGGGATTGTCACTTCTCTCCAAGCACGCTGCTCTGTCATTGCAGCTGCAAACCCTGTTGGAGGAAGGTATGTTAGTGCAGAATTTATTAAAAATACAAACTCGCTTTCATTTATAAACTTAGACACAGTATCTTTTTCCCATTGTAACTATTACTTGCATGTCTGAGAACAATCTGACCTGTACATCTGCATTCCAGATATGATTCCTCTAAAACATTTGCGCAAAATGTTGAGTTAACAGATCCAATCATCTCTCGTTTTGACATCCTCTGTGTTGTTAAGGTCAGGATTCTACAGACTCTAGTCTTCTCCACATTTCTATGTCAGTTCATTTTCACAGGGTGGGAAAAAATGATAATATGCAGGATGTGGTTGACCCAGTCACTGATGAAATGCTTGCAAAGTTTGTCGTTGATAGTCACTTCAAGTCGCAAGCTAAGGGAGCTAATATGGATGATATGCCTATAAGCGAATCCCACGAAGATAGTGAAGCCTCTGCCAACCCAGTAGATCCAGAGGTTTATACTTCATACACTACCCAGTCTACCAACTTGTACTTGCTTGGTTTGTATGCACTTGAGTTTCTTTCTTTTTAATCTCGTTGAGTTTTTGGCCTTCATTTGCAGATAATTCCTCAAGATATGCTGAAGAAATACATAACATATGCCAAGTTAAATGTATTCCCAAGGTTGCACGATGCTGATTTGGAAAAGATCACACGTGTTTATGCTGATATGCGGAGAGAATCTTCAGTTAGTTTCTTTTCTCACATGTTTTTACCTTGAGAGTTTGTGTTTTGGGTTTTACCTTATAGGAGATTTAGTCTTTCACTGTTTTGTTTAGCATGGACAAGGAGTACCTATAGCCGTAAGGCACATTGAATCAATGATCCGAATGTCTGAAGCACATGCAAGAATGCACCTTAGACAGCATGTAATACAAGAAGATGTGGACATGGCAATTCGTGTATTACTCGATTCATTCATCTCAACCCAAAAATTTGGGGTGCAGAAAGCTCTGCAAAAGGTATAAAAAGCTGCACATCTTCCCTTTCCCTTTCCCATTTTTATTCTGGTGTTTTTATAGTCTTCTAAAGCTTCTAATTTTATGAGAGTGGCAAATCTAGTTGCCACATTGAATTGTTAAGGTTTTAGCTATTCTGCTCGGCAATGGAAATTTACGTTAGAGTGAGTATGGTCAATCTTATATATGAGGATTCTTAAGTATCCACCACGGCCAACTTACTCTCCCTATTTTCTTGTATTTCTTACGTGTTAACGCTCACATAAGTTTTCAAATTATTCCCCGTCCAAAACTCAAGTTTCAACATGATAATCATCTCTGGGTCTTTGCTGAATGTTTATGCCCTTAATTTTTAAATACCATGACTTTTTATACGCACTTTCATAATCAATCATTGCCAAGCACAATCTGATCTTGTTCGTACTTTTAACATTATGATCTAATAAGTTTCTTGTGCCTACCTGAAGAATTTGTAGATCACTTGGCAAAATTTTTGAAGTTTTCAGTGTAGTTGATTACTGAAGGATTTGTTTCGTATTTTGCAGAAATTCAGAGAATACATGACTTATAAGAAGGATTACAATAGTGCGGTCCTTCATTTACTCCGTCAGCTCGTGAGGGATGCAATCCGCTTTGAAGAAATTGTTTCTGGCTCTGCCTCAGGGCTCACCCACATTGATGTAAAAGTGGCAGATTTGCAGAGGATGGTAATGCAGACATGAAATCCCCCTATCGGAAATTTAATTTTTTTGCTCTCCTAACCGAAATAGGCACTTGACAATCGAGCTTTTCGGATTTGATTTGTTCTGTGCAGGCGCAGGAGTATGAGATCCTTGATCTGCAACCCTTCTTCACAAGCGCTAGTTTCTCAGGAGCCAACTTTGAGTTGGATGAAGAGCGTGGATTGATACGGCATCACCTTGCAAGATGATGATTGGAAGAAGTATCGGTTTCAAAATTTGCTTGAAACACATCAATCAGTGGTCTTGCATAAGTAGCACGAGCAAAAATGTCGCGGTAGTTTTGACTGCAGGATTATGAACTGCATAGTTAGAAATTAGATAGATTTTGAACTAAATCTTACGATTTGCATTTGGTTTCGATGCTAAGATAACGTTTACTGGTTTCTCTAGCTGCTCGCTCCATAGAATTTGCCCCTCAGATTTTCTTGTTTTTGGTGTTGGGTCTTTTAATTTTTTTTATTCGTCGAAAATAAAAAGGTGCATGATGATTTTTTAGGGTGTTGAGCTTTCTTTGAGTGAAAATTATGAGCAAATGTCCAAAATTGCCCCAAAATACAATTCAATTGCTTTTCTTCTTCATGCAGACGCTATTATTAATGGTGAAGATAGGGAGAGAACAATTGACTGTAGATATATATGTTATATCGGGAATCGAAAACTAAAACATATATACAGTCAATTTTCCATTTTAATATTCTCTCGTAACCTCACCATTAATGATAGTGTACATATAAGAGAATAATAAGTAGACTCGATTTACCCCCTAAACTGTCATTTGGTTTTTGATTTCTCTCCTGAACTTTTTTATTGAAAAATTAAGGACTCAAACTAATTTTTTTAGCCGATTTGCCCCTCACTCTTAAAAATGATTAAAAAACTGAAAATAAATAAAAAAACAAAATTTTCCCTCTATTTTTTCCCGTTAATTCCTATCCTTGATTTTATTTTTGCCTCTCATTCCTATGCATGAGAAATGACATATGGTGTTATTGTCTAAGTTACTCTTTTTCTTGAAGCAGGTACTACCATTTTTATTTTTTCTAACAAATTAATAATTTGACAAATGCTCATGATGTTATTATCTCCAAAGCAGTGCATTAATATAAGAAACATGTTCATAATACTCATAAAAAAATGCTCAAGATAATTACATACTTTTTATAATGTTATAACAATCCCAATACAATTCCACAAAATGATCCTTAAGAAGTTAGAAAACATAACACCATCAACCTTACTCAGTCATCAAAAATGAAAATAGGTTTAGGTACAAGATTCCAACCAAACGAGGAAGGCCATGGAAAGTGTAGTTGATCTCCATGTGTCATGTGTGTTTCGAGCATAATGTTTGTGCTCTTGTTTTGATAACTAAAACCTTATTTTGCTTGTGTTTGGTTAAGTGGAATGCCCCTATTTTGTAATCAAGATTCTATGGATTATATACCTTATGAGCTGTAAAATCTCTTATGTTTTCCAACTGCTCAATAATCATTTTGTAGAATTGTATTGAGATTATTATAACATTATGAAAAATATGTAATTATCTTGAGCATTTTTTATGAGTATTATGAACATGTTTCTTATATTAATACACTGTTTTGAAGACAATAACACTACAGACATTTGTCAAATTATTATTTTGTTAGAGAAAGTAAAAATGGTAGCACATGCTTCAAGAAAAAGACTTAGTTACTTATGAAGACAATAACACCATATGTCATTTCTCATGCATAGGAATGAGAGGGAAAAATAAAATTGAGCATATGAATTAGCGGGAAAAAATAGAGAGAAAGTTTTTATTTTTTTTATTTTCAATTTTTTAATCATTTTTAAGAGTGAAATAACTTAACTACCTCACATGTTGTGCATATGGTCTCACTTAACAGAAATATGAATGAAATATATGAAAAACTAACGGTAGGGGCAAATCGGCTGAAAAAATTAGTTTGAGTCCTTAATTTTTCAATAGGAAAGTTCAGGAGGAAAATCGAAAGCTAAGTGAAAGTTCAGGGGGTAAATTGACAGTTTACTCTAATAAGTGAATACAAGTATGATGAGTAATACAGTCGGAAATTAACATGTGTACGACTAAAATATATCAATTACTTATGGATAGTGCTATTCACACATTCTTCTACTTCTCGTCTTTGTTATTTATTAATCTTCTCCAATTCATTCGATCTGATAGCTATAATTTAAGAAAAATATGTGAAAAATAAAAATAAATGTGTGAATAGCATCACCGTCACTTATCAAAATGATTGATATATTTTAACTGTACAAATATTATGATCGCAATCATTGGTATTTTAGATTACATGGACATAAAAGATCAATAACGTATTTTCACAACTCAAGTATTGTCCAACAGAATCTTACATATCGCACCTATCCAGTATCTTCTACTTGATTAAATTTCTTCTCTTCAACTGGATAAAGAATCAACATACAAAAAAATTCTACTCAGCAAAGGAAAGCTTTCAAATCAACTGTTCCAGTGTGTAGCCAAAATCCAAGGCGCGCTTAGGGTTGAGGCGCGACGGTCCTCATGGCAGGAACACGGTGGCGTAATTTCACTGACCTCCATCTTCTTCTGCTGGTACTGCTGATTGGCTGCTCCGCTTCTCAGATCCGCGCTTCTTCCGAACATGAAGTCGATTCGGTAAACCATTCGCTTCTTTTGAAAACTGTTCTATTCTTTATTAGTCTATTTTTCATGAATTTTTACAAAGAATTTATGATTTACAGATCTTTTACGAGCCATTTTCTGAGTCGTTTGAAGGCCGATGGATTGTTTCTTCCAAGGACGAGTACCAAGGTCCGCACTTTCTCCTTCAATTTTTGTTTAATTTTTAATATTTTGCATAATTACAGCAATTAGAAATAAATCATTGTTTTTTCTGTTATCTAATTTTTCCAGATTTGTTCTTGTTCATACTGTAATTCTAGTGATTTATTACTCTCCAAGTGTAGCGAAATTTATTTTTGCAGTGGATTTTGAATGCTAATTTTCGTATTTTTCAAATTTAGGGGTATGGAAATTGTCCAAAAGTGAGGGACATGATGATTACGGGCTGTTGGTAAGTGAGAAGGCGAGGAAGTATGCTGTGGTGAAAGAGCTCGACAAGGCTGTGAGCCTCAAGGATGGAACCGTTGTCCTGCAGTTTGAGGTCCGGCTCCAGAACGGGCTCGAATGTGGCGGTGCTTACTTGAAATACCTCCGCCCCCAGCAGGCGGGTTGGAAAGCGGAGGAATTTGACAATGAATCGCCTTATTCCATTATGTTTGGACCGGACAAATGTGGTTCCACAAACAAGGTTCATTTCATCTTCAAGCACAAGAACCCCAAGAGTGGAGAGTATGTTGAGCACCATCTCAAGGACCCTCCATCCGTGCCCTCCGACAAGCTGTCTCATGTTTATACTGCAATATTGAAACCTGATAACCAAGTTAGGATTTTAATTGATGGGGAAGAGAAGAAGAAGGCAAATCTTCTTTCAGCTAAAGATTTCGAGCCTGCGTTGATTCCAGCCAAGACAATTCCTGACCCTGAGGATAAGAAGCCAGAGGATTGGGATGAGCGGGTGAAGATTCCAGACCCCAATGCCGTTAAGCCTGATGATTGGGATGAGGATGCACCAATGGAAATTGAAGACGAGGATGCTGTGAAACCTGAAGGGTGGTTGGATGATGAACCTGATGAGATTGATGACCCTGAGGCGACAAGACCAGAAGATTGGGACGACGAAGAGGATGGTGTATGGGAACCGCCGAAGGCTGATAACCCCAAGTGTTCACTGGCACCAGGTTGTGGAGAATGGAAGAAGCCAATGAAACATAATCCTGCTTATAAAGGAAAATGGAGGCCTCCTATGATTGACAACCCCAGTTACAAGGGCATATGGAAGCCTCGAGAAATTCCAAATCCTGATTACTTCGAGACCGAGAAACCCGACTTTGAGCCCATTGCTGCTATTGGCATTGAGATCTGGACAATGCAGGATGGAATATTGTTTGACAATATTCTCATAGCTGATAATGAGAAGGTTGCTGAATCTGTTAGGCTAACAACATGGAAGCCGAAGTTTGAGACTGAGAAAGAGAAACAGAAGGCTGGGGAAGAAGCTGCAGGTCTTTCGGATGGACTCTCAAGCTACCAGGTAATCTTTTTTTCTTTTTTTTTCCTTTTATATTTGAGTTTCCTTCATTTCTATTGATTTTGGTACTTCGTAAGCTAATCAGTTTTAAATACTAATACGTGTAGAAAAAAGTATTCGACCTTCTCTACAAAATAGCAGATGTTTCTTTTTTGGATGCATACAAACCCAAGATCATTGTAAGTCCTTGGCCTGCCATTGCAGCATCTTAACAAACTTTCTCAAAACTCTGCTTAATTGAACTTGTAGAAGGCGATAATTATTGGTTTTTGTGATACTCATGCAGGATCTGATTGAGAAGGGAGAAAAACAGCCCAATATGACAATTGGTGTTATTGTTTCCGTCGTGGTTGTTCTCTTGTCAGTGTTCTTTAAACTCTTCTTTGGTGGCAAGAAACCGGTGGTATGCTATTGCATCTTGCATATATTCACTTTTCTGTAGTGGTTACGACTTTTGATATCTTCTTAATTACACTAGGGCACTTGTAAATTCTTTTGTCCCACACTTTCCAGGTAACTGTTCCTGAACCAAACAGGGCTGCGGCTGCAGAGACTCCCCGCGATGAAGGAAGCAGTGGAGAGAAGGAAGATGAGAATGAGAAAGAAGAAGAAGCTGCTCCTCCTCCCCGCAGGCGGCCTACCACCAGAAGGGAAACATGAGCATATATGTGATATCAGTATGTGGTTATATTAGCAAAATTTTGAGATAGAACCTATATGGCTAGATTTCTTGCTAGCATGTTTCCGAAGCTTCCTTTTATACTTCTTATCAGTACACTTCTTTAAGTACGAATTAGCGCTACTCTTGTATTGGTCGTTATATTTGTTTGCCTAACGTTTTCTGTTGGAGATGGATGCTGTTCACTCTAAATTAAGAATGTTCTCCTATTTATCCACCTGCTCTTCATCTTAGGCTATGAATTGCGTTGTGTTTAATGTCTCGTTTCTGCTGTAGATTGTCACTATAAATGCGTTATTTGCGACCATTTTAGCCTTCGTAGATCAAGAACCCAGATGATATAACAGCAACATATACAATTTATTCACCAAAAATCATCGCATTACAATAACCATTCTTCAAACGAGGGAAACAATTTGGGTCCTTGAGTACGAGACATAACTTTTGCAGAATCGAGGCACCTACAACGCACCCGGATTGTGTACTGATGAGGCCAAAAGAAATGGCCAGCATCCACGCTCTTCATCCACATCACGGAAACTAAAATCCGATTCAGGTCTCAGTCCTTTGCCTTCCATTTTCTGCATCGAACACTACAACTCCAAGCCTATTCCCTGTGATCTTCGGTGCGCTACGTCCCCCTTCCCGAACGCATGAATTTTGTTTTCGAGTTCTGTCCAAGTATAAGGTTTATTTGGTCTCAAATCCATGTCTGTAATCATTCCTCTAACTTCATCGACCATCTCCTGTTTTACATTTTCTGCGTACCTGTTGGAGAGCAACACATATTGTTGGCATGAAGAGTTTCCAAATCATAGAGCTCTAAATAACCCGTCTGCCCAGATTCAGTTGCAGGTGAATCCTACAGCCATCGAGCGGTGCTCTGAGTACCTCGGCATGTCCTTCAATCTTTTTTCGGCTATAAAGCTCCTTGCATCATCAAATTGCCCAGAACGAGATAGAAGAGCTGCCAGCATCGTCAAATTGCCCACAACGAGATAGAAGAGCTGCCAGCCAAGCACGGTGCAACTGTAGGTGTTTTGATGCAGATGAAGTTAAACTCCCCTTCCTCAACAATGTGTGCAGCAACGCAAGCATGAAGGACAGCGGCATATGTGATTTCATCGATCTGTATGCTCGAGTCCTTCATGTGGCAGAACAAATCTACTCGGACCTTTGCTTGTCCGTGTAAGCTGTACCCCGATATCATCACTGTCCACGAAACAAGATCTTTGTACTTCAACTCGGCCAAACTTTTACAGCTGATTGGATAAATCCCGACTTGACATACATGTCCCTAAGTGCATTCAGAATGGTGAGATTCATTCGGATACCATTTCGCAGCAAGAATCCATGAATCTCTTTGCCATGTTTACCTGCAGACGTTCTTGCGCATGCCGGGAGAACACTAGAGACTCAGAGCGGGTTGGGTTTCCCCCCGTCTCCAATCATCTGCCTAAACAGTTTAAGACCCTCATGGAAGCCTCCCCGCTTCACATTGGCATGAATCATTTCTGTCCAGGAAATGACATCTTTCGAAAACTGCTCGAGCGTCTTCGACACAGCCGCAGTCCATGTACATTCTCAAGAGTGTTTTGCTCACCACACCTCATACTCCAATCCACCTTCCTTGCCAACCCTGTGGACTTTTGTTCCATCAATCAACGATCTCAACATGCCACAGGCACCAGCCGCCGTCGCAACTGCCACAGAACCTATCTGAGCTCCAGACTCCATCATTCTCCCAAACACATGAACCGCCTTGCCGGGCTTAATTACCTTCCCCAATGTACAACCTTGCCAGCATAGTCCAAGAAAGAGAGTCCTTAACAGGGGATGTTAAGGGTATTTATCAAACAGCCCTTTTGCGGCGTCCGCGCCGTCGAGATGACCATACCAATGAGAGTGGCAACCACGTACCGGTTAGCTGAGCAGACGAGCTTATGAGTGTGGCCATGGACAATGGCGAAGCCAGGATTTGCGGAGGGAAGGGGCGAAATTCAAAAGAGTGCAAGGTTCAATCGAAGCGGTTGCTTTCACATTGGAGAGTGCAAAGTTTTGAGTCAATATTCATAGCAAAAAATAATTTCTCCACCAAAGCGGATGTAAGCAATAATATCAAAACCAATGTAAGAAGCTTAAATTGGCTAGGATTAGATCCTAAAAAATGTTAGCCGCTAGTCAAACAGCGGACTGGAACCTAGCAATTAGGTGCCTAGGCGAGATCTAGGCAGGAGCCTAGATGGATTTAAATTATCGTAAAATAAGCATTAAACAATATTTATAAATAATGTGAGAGTTTAAGATAAATACGATGAAAGTCTTAAAACGGAAAATAAAAATACATACAAGAATTAAAAAAAGAAAAAAAAAGAAATGGGTTAATAAACCACAAAAAAAAGGTGGGGGTTAGAAGAGTCAAAAAAAGGAAAATACTTGGGTCCTCACCGGTGAGGACCCAATATACTGACATTACCATTTAACCCAATCAAATCAAAGCAATTTGTCATTTCAAACTCTCTCTATGCCTATAACCAAGCAACCAACTTTAACCTTACACCTATAACCAAATAGTTCATCTCTCCTCTGTCCCATGCCATGGATCTCATCCTCGTCCAGGTCAAATTTAACCCGAATTTCTCCATCAATCTCTCTCTTTCAAAGAACCCAACCTTGCCCACTCATACCCAACTCTTTCCTCTACCATAGCAGCACTTATACAACTGCTTAATTACTAGTAGCGGAGTAACCGCTTTCTCTCCTTTCTGCCCATGGTTGTATCGGGAGTAGCCGCTTTCTCTCCTTTCATCCCTCCAACCTCTCTCCTCCGTCTTCGTCATTCCTCTGCAAATCTAACCAAACTATAGCCCTTCCTTTGCAAATTCGACCATGACAATGCACCGGCCAAAACCAATTTTTACAGGTGCCATGAATTCCGACCAGAGTGGAGGGGTGGAACCAGCACTCCTAGGCATGTTTTCCTGCGAGGGGAGGGGCGACCGCCACTCCTCGCCTTCACATAGCTTCGTCATTGCCTATAACCAAACAATTCCTCTTTCATCCGTCCCATGTCGCGGATCTCATCCCCGTCCAAGTCAAATTTAACCCGAATTTCTCCATCAATATCTCTCCTTCAACGAACGTAACCCTACCCACTCATACCCAACTCTCTTCTCTACCATGGCATCACCTATACAACTGCTTAATTACTGGTAGCAGAGTAGTCGCTTTCTCTCATTTCTGCCCATGGTTGTATCGGGAGTAGCCGTTTTGTCTCCTTTTTGCCCATGGTAATGGAGTAGCCGCTTTCTCTCCTTTCATCCCTCCAACCTCTCTCCTCCATCTTCGTCATTCCTCTGCAAATCCAACCAAATTATCGCCCTTCCTCTGCAAATTCGACCAAGATAGTGCACCGGTCAAAACCAATTTTTATAGGTGCCATGAATTTTGACGAGAGTGAAGGGGCTGAACCAGCTCTCCTAGGCCTGTTTTCCGGCAAGGGGAGGGGAGGCCGCCACTCCTCGCCCTCACGTAGCTTCGCCACTAGCCATGGAGTTGCTTGCCAAGAGAGAGACCAGCCGATAGGCGGACAAGAAGAGAGGGAGGGTATGTCTGTCTGGGCGAATGCTGCGGAGTAGCATTTGGCGGCAAGTGGCGAGGGCCTGGTGGAAGTCGCCATTGGCGATATGGGTGACGGCCACCTTCGTGGTGGGCTTAACATTTCGGGAGTGCTTGTAGTGGACGGTGTTGATTGAGTTCTCGGTGACCATCAGACACTGGATTTGGGCAGATGGAAGGGCTTCCATTTCAGTTTAGTCGGACCCAATTCAGCATTAACCGTACATATTAGAGCGCTATTATTGATGATTTTTTTTTTTTCTAGAGAAGATTTGCAGTTTGGCAGTTGAGGTTAAAGTTTGGTCGAAGAACAACGATATGTCGTGTTTTTTATTAGGATTCTCTCAATAGAGAAACGACACCTTTGCAGAAGCACTCACATGATGGTAATGGTGTCATTCATTTCATTCAATTCAAAGGCAAAAGCACTCACATTTCAAACTGTGATTTGCAGGATGTAGAATGCCTTCTTGATAGGTATGTCATGTTAAACTAGCAAACTGTTGAACCGAACCTAACCGAACTAATTGATAGCAAATTAGTTTGGCATAAATTGGTTTGGTTTTCGATTTTCTCACTTAAAATCCAAGCCTGAGCATTTTTATAAAAAATATACTTCCACTCCTCTCTTTTTTCACTCCGTTTCTAACTGAAATCTCGATTAGTATTATATAGTTTGTTTCTCAAATTTAAGAATAAAGCGAACTGAATCAAATCATGCGCACCCAATCCAAGTATTGACCAAAATAAAATTAGAAAAAAAAAAAAAAGATTAAACGCGTAAATAATGTTCCCAACTCTTTCTATTTCATGTCTCCAGAAATACAATCTTCAAGCACTCGACTTCGGAAACCAATACACCACAATGTTTTAACCATTGTAATTTGCACATGAAATATTAGAAGGTCAAAGTGTTTCGAAGGAATCGGCCATTATTGTATCAGTCTTGGATTTTTTTTTTTTTTAAACAAACGTTATTAACTACACCAATGAGTAAGCTTAATATCATAATGAGCTAGCAATAATGTGATTTAAATTTGCTTTTGGCGAGAATCAAATCTAAGATCTCTAACTTACAAGTAAAGAGGAATACCATGTTTCAAAGGAATCGGCCATTATTGTATCAATCTTGGATTTTTTTTTTTTTTTAACAAACGATATTAACTACACTAATAAGTGAGCTTAACCTCACAATGAACTAGCAATAATGTGGTTTAAATTTGCTTTTGGCGAGAATCGAATCTAAGATCTCTTAAAGATGAATATCACTAGACAGTAATACTAGGGAATTGAATCTAAAATCTTTTACTTACAAGTAAAGATGAATACCACTAGACACTAATATTAGGGGTAGTCTTGAAATTAAGTTGGCATAAAATTATAGCCACAAGAATCCCCACAAATTAGAAAGCAATTCACCTCCCCACTCCCCACTCGACCAGGCCTAACTTTGACCATACTTCATGTTCCGTTTGTGAAGGATAGCAATTGGATGGTGGGTACTGGCATTGACTGAGCTGGTAGCTGCTGTGTTTTTTTAGTGGACTATTGATTAGGAGAAGTTTCGGTTGAACTGTTTGATTAGTTAGTATTTATATTATATTTGGGCTAAACTAAAAATATTGATAATTTCTTCTGTTTATGCGACGTGCACCTACAAATTTAGGTGAACTACTCATGTCTATTAACACGAGAGAAATTTCGCTAAAACTATCTGTTTAGAACAATTCTTACATAAGTGAAAAAACGAAAATTGCTAAGAAATCATGTATTATAGGAGGTGCCCTAAAAATTTCGATAGGGCAACAATATTAGGTCTTGGTCTCGAGTGAGACCACAAATTCGAAGAATTTCATGCCTTTGTAGTTTGTACGATGTGCCCACAAATTTAGGATGAGCGCGATAAGAACTTTTGGTAGAAGTGTCTTTTAGGGAATTTTAACGCTGGGTGAGATTTGACAAGCTGTTTTCATGGAATTTTTACCTAGGAGACGATTTTAATGCATATTTTTTAGCTTCTCACGTCTTTTTATTTTTTGTTATTGCATTGAATAAGTTAAATAGAAACAATTATAAAATTAAAGTTCAAAAGAAAAATCTATCAATTATAAAAGTTTTAGGAGGATAATTAGTTAAAATTAAAATTCATGAAAAAATTAGCTGATTATAAAAGTTCAGAAGAGTAATCAATTAAAATTCAAGTTCATAAAAAAAAAATTGAGAACTCATTACAAATTCGGAAGGAAAATTGACAAACAGGTTTGAATTAAAGAAGAGCATTGCGATCCGAGTAAGATTAGAAGTGCCTTAAAGACAGAAACCAAAGATGGACCGGATAAACCGAGTCACGGTGGAATCCCGGTCCGTCTGAGTCCCTATCTTAAATGTCGCTGACCTATGTTGACTGCTAATTTGTCCATTTCCCAATCATGTCAAAATCTCAAACAAGAGCACTGGTGACCTAGGGCAGCTAGTCCAAATCCGCCAAACCCAGCCACGCGGCCACGCCCCATCACCATTCTACTAGAAATTATTTTGATTTTTTTATATTAGAATTAAGGTAAATAGTACTTAATGAATGCTGATCTTATGATATACGATGAGCAAATATGATATGTGAATTCTTAGAATCTACACAACAGATCCCATCCCAAAAGCCACTCCTGCTTGGGTTTATTTTGTACATGTAAAATTGGATTCACATCAAACGACTAATGTAATACGAGAAAAACTTGAATATAATCGGAAATATGAAATATGTGCCATAAGAATACGGAGATATACTCTATGACAGGCAAGCATTTCAAGATTGAAGTAAATTTTGCACACTTCTTTTATTTTTTGTTGCACACGCTTGTTTATTTTTTGTCTTTATACTGAATCACTATTCAAAAAAGAACCAAAGAGAAATAGATGGACATGCACGCAAAATTGAAATAAATTTTGCACACTTCTTTTTGGGTTTTCGTTGCACATGCTTGTTTATTTTTTATCTTTAAAATGAATCATTATTAAAAAAAGAACCAAAGAGAAATAGATTGATATGTGCAAAATTGAAGTAAATTATGCATGGTTCTTTTTATTTGTTTCGTTGCACACGCTTGTTTATTTTTTATCTTTAAAATGAATCATTATTCAAATAAGAACCAAAGAGAAATAGATTGATATGTGCAAAATTGAAGTAAATTATGCATGGTTCTTTTTATTTTTTTCGTTGCACACGCTTGTTTATTTTTTATCTTTAAAATGAATCATTATTCAAATAAGAACCAAAGAGAAATAGATTGACACGTGCGAAAATAGTTTCCAAGAACTAATGAACCAATGACAACTTTGAGAAATTGAAGAAGAAGAATTTAATAGTAGTACGATTAGCAAAAAGATGACGATCATTAAGCAAAAAAGTGCAATTAGAAAGTAATTGTATTAAAAAAAGAGCACGAAAACATGTTCATGTATTTACATAATGAGTATATTCACTTCAATCTAATGAAAATCAAAAGAGGGTCCTCCTAATTAACATCTAAATCCTAACTAATCATTGAAAAGGCACTAATCATCATTTTCTCGACGATTTGATCTTGATCTTGGCTTTGGAAGAACCATTAGTAGAACTACTCTTTTGCTTCTGGGAAGCCTTCGATGAATTTGGTTGAGATTTCTTCTTGGAAGATCTCCTCAGCCCAAAAGAAGAAAGCTTTCTGCTCTTCTCCCGAGCCTCTCTGATGGGCTCGAGCCTCGGCTTCCACTGCCGTGCCCCAACAAGCTGTGTGTAGTCTTTCTGCAGCTGAGCCGTCGTACAAACTCCGCTCTTGGCCTCCACCGCCGCCGCGTCCTCCTCGAGCTTCTTTTCCTCCAGCAATTGCGATATAAACTCGTCCGAAACGCGAATTCTCAAACACCCAGACGGCGTTTTCTGTATATCGAACGGCTCGCAGCTCGCCGCTTTTCTAACAAACGCGTTTCTCGACGAGTCTTTGCTGCTGAAGGAGGCAATGGTGACGAACGAAAGCACAGATTGGAAAAACTGCTGGGGGAGGAGAAAGTACTTGTGACCGAGCTGGAGCTGGTCGTCCTCCGACAGTGCCGGGATCTTCTGCCCGATGTAGAACGAATCGGACCGGCACACTTGGTGTTTCGGAAACTCCATCATGACTTCCGAAACGTGGATTGGCCGGTGGTAGATCAACACAAGCCCGTCCGATTTGACAAGCTTGATCGTGCAGATCGGGCGGGCTTGGTCGTTGGGACGGAGCTGCGCGCGAGAGATGCGGTGGCTGCCCATTAACTGGAAGCACCACGGCATCATTTGAAGAGTGAAGAATCGCAACGTCATTTGTCAATGTGTGAGATCGGAGAGATGTAATTTGTTGGGGACTTTCAGCATATATGTTGTGCGCAGAACGATGGATGATGATAAGGTGTTCGATTAAATTACCGAGAGAGCGAAAAGGGTCGTGGCTTTTGGGTATGGCGTGTGGGGTTTGAGAAAAATGATTCCAAGCTACCACGATATGAGGTGCAGAGGTGGGTTTCTTGGGGTTATATATAATTGTTGATCGATGTACGACTATGCGGGTTTGAATGGAATGTGCACCATGTTATTATAAAAAAAATTATGGAGGAGAATTCTCTTCCTCCTTTTTTTTTAATTTTTAATTTTTAAATTTTTGAATTTCCTTCTATTTGAACGTTACGTCATATCAACAATTTATATTTATTTTATTTTATAAAGACAATAAAACAAAAAACAAAATGTAAAAAGGAAAAGGAGGGAAGGAAATAAGAATAAAAGGACACATGATCCTACTCCGAAAGATTCGGTACTCTTCAATCTTAACTTTCGTACTTTTGAGCAAAGATATATCAATTAAAAAACTCGTAGTACCGGTCCAAAGCACCCAAAGAAAATCTTGTTTTTATACAATAGTAGAATGCATTTTAATCTGAATGAGGATTCTCGTCGGATCCTCTTTGTGAGGATCCCAATGATTGTCAAATCACATACATTCATTGTATATCGTATGGTCATAAATTATTGTATTTAAAATTGAATATAAACAGTACCCGATGAAAACTGGTCGCACGATGTATGATAAATGAATGTAATTGGAGGATCATCGGGATCCTCACAAAGAGGATCCGGCGAGGATTCTCACAAAGAGGATCCGGCGAGGATCCTCACTCTTTTAATCTAATCTAGACTACTAAAAAGAGATTTTTTTTTATTTTTTTTAATGCATCAATATTTTTACATTAAGGAGAGGGGGAGTTAGAATAAGTCACACAATAGGCAACCTAATTTGGTATCGAATTTTCATCTACGAGATTCGAACCTAAGGTCTCTCACTTCCAAATGAAGAGAAATATCACCAGATCATAGTATGAGTAACTAAACTACTAAAAAGAGATTTAAACTTAATACAAAGAGAGGGCAATCGCTACCTTTGCGTATCGTTTCAATAATACAGAAACAAATGTAAGTTGTTTTCTAATTGGACTGCTTGGATTTTAGAGTAGGACTGAAGACTGAAAAGAGAGAGAGAGGAGGAGGGGGGCCGATAGACCCGGGTAAAGCTTTGCTTTCTATTTGTCCGTGGCACATCAGATGGTGCTTAGCATCTACTTTTGTTTGTTAATTTTGAAAGTTGAACACTTTGGTTTGACTGCAATTTCTTCTCGAACGCCAATTGAGGCCAACCTTATTTAAATCCTAGATCCCGCCTTTTATCTATGAAATAATATGTGGTCCAAATCCGACCCTCTTAAATTACTATATTTTGGTGTAAATACTAAATAGTAATTTGGGAGGAGATATATAAATAAATAGATATTATGGTGTAAAGATATTATTCCATATGCGGCCATGCTGGATTCTCAATTTTATCCGTATACTTGGGCCACGATATGCATATGAGGGAACATCGAGTTATTGCAGTCAGAAGAGCCAGATGAGCAGATAAATTATTATAGAGAGGAAGCGAATGATAACTCTATTATGTTTCAATGTATGCATAATAACTTGATGTATACTCAAGCATTTAACAATTAATAATTTAATGGCTACTAATTTTGGTTTATAGTATGTATCAATATAAGGGTAACACTCGATATAATATACATTTTCTTAGAACCCTCACAAAACGATGAGTTTTATTCACTTGGGGTCGCTCTTTGTAGTATACATCAATACACAAGAAGTATCATGTGTGTAGTAAAACTCTGAACAGTTAAAGATTCAATGGTCACAAATGATGGTCTACTCACCAATGTTTATGAAAAAATCACGAAAAATTATCAAAAATGTTAAGATGTGATCAGTTAAGTAAGTTGGTCAACAGATTATGCTTATTTGTTTCCACTTGAATTTGATTTGTATCGTTTTTTTATGTAAATTAGAGTACTAATTTAGAATATCCTTTGTGTTGAAAAAAGATACCAAGAGTAGAAAATACATATATCCATATAGTTTTTTTGTTGCGTAGAAGGAAAAGAATGTATCTGTAATTTGTGTGCGCTTTGCATGGTCTAAGGGTGACAGGAGAATGCACTTCCCCATGGACATAACAGCAACACCACTGACCAGTGACCACCCCATGCGTGACGCACACACCACCATTCCCAACTTCTATACCTAAACAAGTTTACCACAATCTTAGATTCTCTAATTCAATCCTAATTAAAATAATCATGATAATCTTTTTTTTTCTCATTTGGCCTCTACAACTCTGAACCAAAAGTAAATTACAATTAGATCTTGATTGGTCCCAGGTTGCATTCTAACCAGTCAGTTGTGCGTCCCTAGCTCGGAATATTTTAAAATATGTGTATCTGTGAATAGTTTAAATTATCTGTTAAGGATTGTTCAGAGTGTAATCTCAAATCGGATAATTACACTCTCGCATCAGAGTTCATAAGGTGATCTTTATCATTAATAGATAGAACAAAAGAGTACAAAAACCGAAAACGAGAGTGTAAAAATCATTATTGTAGAGTTTTAACAGACTACCCACCTGTTGAGTTTAACGACCGCGCATTATCGGTCACTTTATATGCAGCGTGCACATGCTAAGACAGTAGTTCGAGCAAACGGTAGCATTTATGCACGGTTGTTCGATGCCTGTAAATTCGTATTCAAACGAGACTCGCTTCAACCAACACATCCTTGGTCCCTGGATAGTGGATTCCCCGGTCCCTTTCGGCTAAAGCTCGATAGGAAATAGTAGTAAAGTTAATTACGGTGCGTACGACAAGGATTACTGTCTCTTTGCTGGCACTTCGTATGCACTCTAACTGTGGTGAAATCGTGTTCAGACTACAAAGATGTTCCAAGACAAAAGAGAAAAATGCTTATAAATTTGAATACCATTGCATTTTACAAGTTTGTGAAATATTTAGTGCAAATGGTATTGAGTTCTTAAACCCTACGTACTTTTCTATATATATTGTCACATTCTTGGCTTACATAGAGAAGCTTGTTTATTGCACTTAATTAATTTTCTCCATTAGTTATGCAGAATTGTAGATAACCTGTCAAGCCATGATTATCGTCATTAATTAACTTTTTATGTGTGTGAGAAACTGACATGCAATTCGAATGTGTACTCACCAGAGTTTCGAACACCTATTAGCAATCATCAACGACAAGTGAAACCAACAATATTCAGTATAATTCTGATATCATATGCTGCAAACTTAATTTACCAGTTGTATGTAGTTTATTCTCTTAATATGCCTTCACATTTTCCACAACTGTTGTTGTCATATTTTTCTTTTCTAGCGATATTAAATTTGGTGCTTTTGCACATGAAATACAACAAATTACTTTACAAATGTCAAGTTTAATTAACCTAACCTATTTTGATTAAAAAAGGAACCAAAACTTACATGTCACTTGGGTCTATAACACTCTATGTTTAACTCTCTCTCTTTTCAATGATATGAATTTTTATTATCATCTGTCTATCTCTCTCGTCATGTTCGGTAACTAATGTCTAAGTTTGGATGCATGTACAACTTTGAAAGATTCTTATTCATAGTCTCTCCTCAATTAGGTCATTCACTCAGGACCCATCAAAGCATTACCTAGTCAAAGCAAAGTTGGCAAAGCCAAAGTGCCCGACACCCGTGTGCATTTCCAAAATTGTCCATGCAGAAATTTTTGTCAATGTAGTTGTCTCAACCCTGTAGGAGAAACTTCTGTTACTATTTTTTTAGAGTAAAAGTATGTATCGACAAGGTTGATGGAACAAGTACCTAACAAAACGTTAGAAACCTTCACTCATAAAAAATATTTTAGAAAAGATACGAGACAATAAACTATAACATGGGGTGTCAATAGATATTGAAACTCTATTTTTCTATTGTGATTTTGGTATTAATTTTATTTTTTTCCTAATGGAATCAATATACAATTTCTCATGGTGTTATATACGTGGAGCCAACTAATAGAAGAGTTTTTTGTAATACCATAACATATCTTTGTTCTCATATACGAGTTTAAGACGCTTATCACGTGATCAGAATATAGTTTTAGTTTTATATATATGAGTTTACAAAACTTATCACGAGAACAAATAAAGATAGATAAGTATAGATCTCCAACAGCAGGTAACACTTTCCACGTATAAAAGTCTTTTGATACAATGAACCATATAGTATGAACGTGGAGATTGTTATGAAACTTAATGAGAAGTTGTTATTGTTGAGTCACGCAAATGCACACTAGCAATACCACACACACGAAAACTCCATCAACTCGACTCCTCATCCACCAATTCAGTCTCGTCCGTTTTGGAAAAACACAGTAAAAAAGAACAGTACAACAACAAAAGCAAACGTGCATGTGTTGAATACATTTCTTTTCCTTCAAGTGGATCGACCATTCTATCTTTGACCAGGTTGGTCTAGTGGAAATGCACGTGTTCAGGTGTCGAAGTTGAAGGAAAAGTACTGATCAAAATGGTATCCAAGGAAAAGGACTGAAAACCAAGTCGACCAAACTGGTAAATAGGACATGCCAATTGCCACACCAGTTTATTGCGTGATTCACGAATCGTGCTAGAGTTATTGCATTTCATGATCAAAATTGTCCATATTTTAAGACCTTATTTAATGTTCATTCATGCAAAACTTCGTAGAAATCTGAAATGCTTTTGTGATCTAAAATGTGCAAAATATATCACTTTTTAAATAAAGTTGAAACATGTTACTTAGTACTACAGTCTAATGATATTCCTTTTCATTTGTAAGTGAGAGGTCTTAAGTTCAATTCTCCACAAAGGCGAATTTGAACCATATTATTGCTAACCTATTATGAGGCTTAGCCCACTCCCCTACCTACTTAATATAGATAACATCGTTTGTTAAAATAAAAAATAAAGTTGAAACAGAAATGAGAATAAATAATGATAAATTTGAATTGTTCTGGCTGTTGTTCAAAATGGAATTTTAATTTTTTTTTCTTTGAAAAATGACATTCTTAAAATATGTTAATTACTTGGAAGTTGGAAGAGAGGGAGTCCACAAATGGTGTTTTCACTACTGTGGCGAAAAATAATCATGCATATGCACCTGGTGCGGATTTGATCCCCACAAATCCTCCTTCCCTTAACAACTAACAATTTAACTCACTAACGCTATCATTTGCAGAAAAAAATTAAGGGAAAAAGTAATGGGTGAGATCTGTTGATATCCTTGATTTGATTTTGATTTTTTAGGTATTAAAATACGAATTTTGAGGTGAAGTTTTTTTTTTTTTAAGGGAGATAACTGGTGGCAAGTCACGGTTATTTATTCCTTCTGGGAGTCAGAAAAATTCACATAAGCATTTCAACCTCCCCATGACCACAAGTCTAGCTTCCACACCAGCCACAGATTTTGAGGTGAAGTTCACATTTATTTTATTTTATTTCATATATGTGTTAAAAAATTAAAAAATTAAAGAATTTCAAAACTAATGTTTTAGCCAAAATGTCAAGAATGAGAATAATTCCAACTCCGATTGCATATAAGCAAACCCGCCATTCGTGCATAAAAGCCTTACTCAGATTATAGATGAAGTGAAGCCAAAGCCCAAAAAAGAAAATGGCCCAAATGTAACCTGCATGATGAAACTGTGTCCGGCCCATCAGTACCCATCTGATTATTCTGTATCCCAGAGAGAGGGAGAGAGAGAGTTGACGAGAGCAGAGAAGATAGGAAAATGGTGAAGAGGTGGTGGACAATCGGAGCGGCTGTGGCGATAATCGGAATAGGGAGGGAGCTGAGCAAGCACTATGGGTTGGACAAGGACGCTGTGATCAAGGTGTTTGCTGAATTGTCCGATCGCCTGGGAGTATGGGCCATCCCACTGTACGTTTCGATCCACACTATCACTCTCGCTCTCTGCCTGCCCTACGCTGTCTTCTTCGAGGCCGCCGCTTCTATGCTCTTCGGCTTCTTCCCGGCCGTCATCTGCGTCTTTGCCGCCAAGCTGCTCGGCGCTTCCCTCTCTTTCTGGATTGGCAGGTACCACTCAAATGTCAATACTTTTACCTTTTCGTTTGAGCAATTTGACAAGTGATTTGAGTAAATTAGACTCCTCTTTAATCTAAATGTATATAGTATCACTGTTAGATTTGGTAACTGATAGACACAGGGGACAGTGATCATTTTTCGAAGTTTTATGCTTTTCTTGTAGTGATGGATGAAAGGTGAAAACTTTAATACAAAACTGCCATGGAATCACCCCACCACAAAATGCCTAATACCCTTTTCCTTATTCAATGCGATAATGACTGAAATTTATGATTTGGCAGAGGTGGCTCTACGCTTTTAAGTATTAAGGATTCAATAGAGTTAAAACTGTTAGCTTTATGTTGAGTTGTTCACCGCAATCGTTGAGGGAATCAGGTTCGATTTTGAGTGAAGGACACGTTTGTTTTAAATTTTGATTTAAATGAGGGCCTCTGCAGAAGATTTAACCTCCCTGCAATGGGAAATGCATATTAGTATCTTAATACAAATACAATTCATAGTATCACCAAAACAGATTGAGGTGCGCAAATACGTGAGCAGCATTGCTTAACATTCTTCATATGACAAGTTGACAACTGACTGCATCAACTGTAATTCCCCCCTGCTCCAGTTATTGGGATTAATGCTATATTGATTAGGTTGAAGTTTGTGTATGTGTGTTTTATATTATTTGCTTTTAGATACTGCTTTAATGCTGTGGTGTTTGCAGGTTAATTTTCAAGAGTTCAAGTTCAGCAATGGACTGGGTCCAGAAGAATAAGTACTTCAATGTCCTATCCAGAGGAGTTGAGCGAGATGGTTGGAGATTTGTCCTACTTGCCCGGTTCTCGCCAATGCCATCCTACATTATAAATTATGCCCTTGCTGCAACAAAAGTTCGGTTTGTCGTGGATTTTCTGCTGCCGACAGTTATTGGATGCATGCCGATGATTTTACAAAACACATCCATTGGCAGTCTGGCTGGTGCTGCCGTTTCTTCGGCATCGGGCTCTCAAAAATCTCAAATTTGGTCGTACCTTTTTCCTTTACTAGGAATTGTGTCAAGCATTCTTATTTCCTTGAGAATTAAGAAGTACTCTACTGAAAATTTAGTGACCGAATCATCTCCAAGTCACGACTCTAGTAACTTAGTTAACTCTAATGACAAGGACTTGAAAAAAGGTCAGTGATGGATTTGTAAACCCTAAAACTTGGTAGAACTTTACCATTTTCTGCTGCTGCTGGAAGTTTTGCTGTTGAGATCCCTTCTAGTTTTAATCTGCAATCTGCGTTGGCGGATGATGTGCTCTTTTATTGTTTCTTCCCTTAGCCTACTCTAATTACATTGTGGAGTTTCTTGAAAACTAAGCAAAGGCATGTAGAAAGAGCTACTGTAGGGAAGACAGTTTAATGCTCCCATTTTTAACTGACAATTGATTAGTTAAATATATTTATGCAAGTAATTTTGCGATCATGTCAAAGTTCCCATGTTCTCATGCATGCTATAAACTGAAAGTGGTTTACCTAGCAAGATGAAGGTACCATCACAGTTGTTACTGCGAAGCTGAAAGATCTGGTGGAATAAATTGTGGCTATGTATTATTGCTGCTATTTTCTCTGCTGCGATAGTAGAACTGTAGAACTCTTTGCGTTGTCAAGCCTGCGAAGATTCCGTTACATGTTTCTTTGGTTTTGTGACACTAACTGCTGAATAATGATTTCTGTCTGAGGCAGCTAGGACTTGTTCACATTGTCTCTTTGCATTGTATGGCATGAAAGGGCCAATTACATCGATGATGTGAAATGAACAAGGTATGTTTTTAACGCCACTGTTACTAATGCACTGATCGTGGCAGGTTTTTTCTTTTTGCTGTTTTAGCCATAATGCGCATTTAGAATTTGATGTTCATCACAATGATGGTTTTTGTTGATTTTAAGGTTGGGTCGGGTATGATTTTGTATTTGTCATGGGATTAAGATACTGATTACAACTGTTAATCTCCGCGCACACAGTGCCACGCACGGATGTACGTAGACATGCTGCATTAAAGATACGAGTCTTCATTAGATAAAGATTGATGTTTCGTATTACCACTAATCACCCTGAAAGGAGTTCAAATCTCCTGCACTCAGTTTGTGTGTGGCCTCTATCATTGATTGACATGTGTTTATAAACTTAACTCTCTTTAGTTTTGTTATCGTAAATTGGTTGTCAAATAATGACAGACAAAATGGGTGCAGAAGATTTGATCTTCCCTGAAAGTCAAACACGGGTTTATGTCTAGCTCCTCGTGGGTCCAAGAAAGCATTAGCACTTGGAAGTTGACGATCATGGATGACATCTTTTAGGTCAAAACGATAGATTTTGCTTTTGAAATACATGTATGTGAAAAATTCAGCTCCTACCATTATTTAACAACCAACCCCACATGTTGAAAGACACAATGCCAGCTTGCCATATCAAAATGGTATTTCATGCTAAAACTATGTACTTTACCAAATTGACTCTGTTGCGACGCGTAGGGCGGCCGCACGTGTCAGCTTTTTCATGCAAAGTTGGGTGTTGAGGGTGGGATCCACACGGAGGGCCTAGTCTTATGAAAGAGCTGACGCGGCAGCCCATGACAATAATTTCTCCTTCCAGCCTCTTTTGTCAATAAAGTCCACTTCCTACCATCGCAAATGTTGAATAGCCCATCATAGGCCCTAATGCTCCGTTGGAGGGTAATGGAAGCAAGATGTCTTCAAGATAACTCCTTCCTTCGTCTTGATTTGACATTCATTTGTTTGGATGAGTTGACATTTGAAATATATCTTAATCAAGTGTTACTAATGATGATCATGAATAATTATCATCATTTTAAAGGTACTAATTACTTTTAAAACAATTTTAGGCATGGGTTATTATACACACATAAAATGATCAAAAAACGAAACTCTAGTGTTTTGGGGCCATGGGTGGTGTGTTAAGGACGCAAGACTTAAGAATTAAGGGTACTACATCATCATGATTGACCATGGGCTAGAAAAGTATTTGTTCCGCTTTTCCATTTTGTTTAGACCACGTCATCCGTCCAGCGACAATACAAATAAGTTAAAACTCTTTCTATATTAAGATCTAAATACACGAGCCCGCTATACCGACTTCAATAAGGGGGCTCTCTTGTTTGTGTTTGCAGTCAAATGGGCAACGTGATCCGGCTACCGGATAGAAGAATGTATCCAACTTGTGCCTTTGTGGTTTTCTTGGTCAATCAACAAAGGGTTTTGGAGAACACCATAAAGCAATGCTCAATGTGGTGAACACTAAGATATAGATAATCCAAATCTTAATCTAAATTAATAAAGGTTCTTATCCTTAATCAATTAAACACTTTCTGTTTCTGCATCCAATCAATTAAACTCTTTTAATTCAAGGAAAGAAATGTGGACAAAAACTTACCCAAAATACCCAAAATAATAAAACAAAAAACTTGATCATATTTGCAATTGGGATATCAATCGATGCATTATTGGTACTTGTTGCGGTGGGTCCCCCCCCCTGTCCCCACCTTCCCACGAGATGGTTGTTAGCGGTAGGTATTATTGCACACCTACCACATGCGATGGACCCGCATAGTACCCCATTATTTCATTCCCTTCTTTTTTTCCACTTTTGGGTGCGCAAAAAAATAGTGCGCAAAAACCAAACTCCTCTATTTGATTACACTTACATAAGCATTTGATCAACTAATGATAATTACAGGCTCTAATCTCTCTCTCTCTCTCTCTCTCTCTCTCCCCTTTTTAATCACTCTACTTAGTATAATTAATTAGAAATTCTCTTTGTGGAAGTCGAACTTCGTGGTGGTCTTGTGTGAAAAGTACAACGCCAATTCCTTGAGGTCCTTTGTTAGTGCTGGTGCCCCACAGTAAAACACCCCTGCATACGTAACCATCAATTTTGTCACGATTAAAATTAATGATGCAAAGATTACGATTAACAACGTTGGACTTAATTAAGAGGGCGGCATGGATTCTTAATTGGTTATGAATGTGCGTCTAAAATAAAACTCGCTTACATCAACGATTAGAAATCAGTTATGATATGCCAATGTACGAGTGACGATGTTATTCTAATTTAGTTAGAGTATGGATTTTCAAAGCATGAAGTGGTAGACAAGAGAAGGTGGGTGAGGTTGGTGAAGAAGAAGTTTCTTTTGTACTCACCCACTCGGCTATCCGGATGGCGGCGAGCGATATCCTTGTAAACTTGGCGCCAGTTGGGCTTGGCGAAGTGGGATTTGACACGTGTGCCCGACACCACATCGACGCCGTTCTTGGCGTGGTGGAGGGACTGGAGCATGGCAATGAGGGCTGACCTGGCATCCCCTTCCTCGTACACACTGGTGCAGTAGTTGTGAATCTCGATCACACCCTTCTCGTCCATGTCCGCCACCTCGTTCAGAATCCCCTTGAACCACTCGAACGAGCCTTGTTCTCTCGTCACCCAATAGTAGTAGGCCTTTCTGGTCTTGAACCCTTTGTTGCTCCTGTTCTTGCCACTGCTGCTGTTGTTATGGCTCGAGGCATTCGGAGTGGCCCTGCCGCTTTCTAGGGCGGACTCCGAATCATCGTCTTCCCTGCTCTTCATCTTTATGTTGTTGATGATGTCCTTCACAATGCTCACCATGGGAGTTGCTCCGATTCCGAGCCCTACAAGCAATACAACGTCGTATTTCTTGTAGTCCTGTGCCGGTGCTCCGTATGGACCGTCTATCAGTATCTTAGGGAAGCTGTAACACAAATTAATTAACAAATCAATCCACATTATTCAATTTTAATTAAATCCTCCTTTTGTTTTTAAGGTACGTATGCCTAATTAAAAATTACCTAGGATTGTTTCCTCCTTGCATATCAGCTCTGAGTAGGCCACTCTTCCCACCAGTCGGTGGCTGACATACCTAATTAACCAACACAAACAATTAATTAGTGAGATCATACACAGTTTTGGAGGGTTTTTGTAGCAAGAAACTCTAACATGAACAAGTTGTGATTAGAAATTTTTAAACGAACCTCGGAGAAAACAGTTTTGAGCTGCCGCGTCCAATCGCCCAGTGTTCGAATGTGGACGCTTAGGTAGTCATCTCCAGGTGATGAGGTAATGGAGAACGGGTGCCTGTCGATATGGTTAGAACATAATTAGTGTGTTTAATCGGGCATGATTAGAAGATATTGTGCACAAAATGTATGAGTGTTCACCATTCGAAAGGAGAAACCGCAGCGCAGTTGACAAACATGTATTGCCCGCTCTTGTATTTGAAGCCCTGAGGCTTTGACATGTGCAGTGCAAGAACATTTCCAGGATAAACAGCAACCTTCAATAATGTTCATAACAATGTGTCAGATAATTAAGAAATTGGTGATAGAATTTGAGCTAAATAGCTGGTAAGCAAAAATTAATCAACTAATTAAGTACCTTGAGAATCTTGACTGGCTTGATGCTTGATCTAAAAGCTCTAATCAACCTTTCGCAAGCGTAGAGGACGACAGGAACCGCCAAATACATCCATGTCTGCCACCAAAAGAAGTAAATCCACTCAAAATCATGCAACTCAATTACCTTAAGGAACTGACTGACGGTTTGCTTTTGACGGATATTCTAAATTATTTTAATTTACAGGGAGAAGAATTCGAACTCGAGTGCAAAGAACTCACCGTTTTATGATACCATTCCTTGGTGAGGTAGAGCTTGATGCCATGGACAATGAGGAGAGCATAGACAATGACAAACAGGTGGTGGGAATACCAGAAGGCGTTGAAGCCAGTGAGCTTCTTGAGCGGCTTTGGCAAGTTGAGCTTGTTTCTTCTGAACCAAGGAGTTGCCAACGTGAAGGCTATGGCCATCAATACCACCATCAAAATACCAGACCACCCTTCCACTCCCTTCACGAACCACCAGTAGTTCCCAGGCTGGTCCTCGCCGAAGTAAGGTTTCAAGCCCTCGTACTTATCTTCGGTCGCGTGTATAATCCGTGGGAAATCGCACGTCAAATGAGCCCCCACGTGTAGTCCAACTCCAACAATGATTCCAACGGCAATGACCTGCAAGACCAGTTCAATTTCACACTCGATTTTGGAGACAATATTGGATTCTCCGAATGAGAAAGTGACATTCTGTTTTTGATACTACCTTGTGGAAATTTAAGTTGTCATCAAACGGGACGGCAACGCCTAATTTGGTCTTGTTTCGGAGCCAAGTAATTGTGTTCCGGCAGACGGGAAGCAGGATCAAGGCCATGTTAAACTTGAGAGTCTCAGCTCCTCCTTTGGCAATGCAGACACAATATCCCATCACCTCGAATGCCTCCTCTCTTTCGCGGTACTGCACAAACTTGTACACAAACAGACCAGAAACTATGCCGAGCCAGAGCATCATAACCCAGACTCTCTGCCAGTTATCAAGGAAGAAGTACTTAGTTCTTTGGTAGCATC